CCTCTCTCCCTCCCTCCCTTCCTCTCTCCCTCCCTCCCTCCCTCCCTCCCTTCCTTCCTATGCGTGGTCTTCCTTCCGTCCCTCCTTCCTTCCTTCTTCCTTCCTTCCTTCCTGTCTTTATTTCTATCTGTCTTTCTGCAACTCCAAGTAGAGGCCCTTTTCCGCCCTCGCAAACCACACACTTTTATGGTCAGAGGTAAGGTGCCGTCTCTTTGGGAAGCCTGCTTTTCCATGCTTACTGCCGTGGCACCTGGGAAGAGCAAGTCTCAACACTGGGAGTCTCAAAAAAGAAAAAATCCACATGAGGTGTCAGTCGTGTACCAAACTGGGCTGCTCAATTTTTCCACTTAAAACTCTTCCCCCTCCCCCCCTCCCTCCACCCCCATCTTGCTTGAAACCACCATCCTTCTTAGAGGTGTCCTGGTAAGATACTGTTGGCCAATCAACTTCCTAGGGTCCTTTTACTCTGCTGGGATAGGAAACACTGTCAAGCCCAGGCCCTTGGGGACTCAGGGCTAGACAGGCAGATCTAGAGGCTTGCATCTCCAAACCGCAGCAGCTAGGGGCCTATAGCTTTAGGCCTTAAGAAGCCAGAGAAATGCAGCTGTGGCACTGACATTGGAGACTTACCCTCCAGACTTGACCCTCTAGTGGCCGGGCACTCTGCAGCTAGTAGCATTTAGTAGTGGCAGCAGACAGCAACATTTAATGTTACAGCTCTCATGCAGGCATCAGGTGCTTGGACCTTCAGCCCCACAGTGACAAGCGTTACAAATTTCTGACTTAGGGTGACTGAGACCTTGACCCTTAAGGCTTGGTGTATCTCTGGAACTCTTCCAACTGCCAAGGACCACTCTCCATTGACCTTGCTGTCTCCCTTTCTTCTGCCACACATTGTTTCTGTCCTAGTCTTTCTGTGGAGCTCTTCATCTGCCCTTTTACCTACCGTCACTGTCACCACCACTATTACCATTAAGGTGGAAGCTGCTGCCCTTACCACTGTTGCTCACTTGTATCACTTCTTACACCATCTTCTTTCCCTGTTACCAGCTCAAGTCTGTTCTAATGATAAAGGTAAAAGGGTAGACAAGAAAAGAGCACTGGAGAGAAGCCTTTTGTAAGGCCTCATGTTGCAAAACACATGGGCATGGTATCTTCTGACTGACTTACTTTGTGAGTCCAAAGCCTGTTTATATAATCAAAAGGAGGGAGATGGCAAAAGTCCCTTCACAGCAGTTTGAATAGCAAACACTAGTAGTAAAAAGGATCAAAGTAAAAATCATGTATTCCATTTAGTCTCTTCTTTCTCCTTCAACCTAAAAAGACCCTTAGATATTCCTTTCTCTTTCATCGCCTTGACACTTGAAGAGTATAGGTGCATGGTTTGTAGAATGTCCCACAGTTTGGACTTGTCTGATCTTTCCTCATGCTCAGATTCAGATGATATATTTGAAAGGAATATCAGAGAAGTGCCTCTGAGCATACAATGTTGATTAATCTCCTAAATGGTAAATTGCTACCCTGTCAAATTTTGACTTTCCCCTTTATAATGAATACTTATTTAGTGAACTATGAATATATGCTTCTTAAAACTCTCAAGTTCTTCCTTTAGCATATATTGATTATTGCCTAATGGGTTCTATGTGGTAGTATTATTCCTTCTGCACTTAAACATTGTCATTTAAATATAAAAAGAACTTTTATTCATCTCCATTTTCAAGATACTCATTTATCTCAGTATGGACTCAAGTATTCTGTTTCATTTAGTACATTATAATTTCTATATATCTCTGATGTGTTTCACCAATACATAAGAACTTCTTCAATTTCTGGTACAACATTATTTTCCAGGGTAATGTTGGAGTTTTCCTATTCCTGCTCTAGAATCAACCATTTATCCCCGGGATCTTTGTTCTTTTAGTGTATAATGGTATTCAGACACCAATGTGTAAGCATTCTATGCTATCATTACTTTTAGTGTAATTTGCTCTCAAATGCATTTGGCCCATAGAAGAAAGGAAAAATAGATGATAGATAGATGCATACATACATTACACACATAGCATTCTTTCCAACCTAGATAAGTCTACACATTATTTAGAACTTTACATAAATGTCCCATCTGCTGTGAAATATTTCCTGACTTCTAACCCCACTACTTACACCTCAGCAAAATTTTATAAAGAGATGTTAGCCATTCTGATAGACCTGATAAATGTGCTCTGAAACAACTTCTGACCAGGAAAGAAGAACCTGAGCTATAACATCATAAAACTGGAAGTTGTGAGGACAAATGAAAAGTATGTAAAACATACTGCACATTTATAGGAAGAACTTAACATATGTTATCCACTACTCATTCTAGAAATGTTTATTAAGTACTATTATCTGGTAGATATTGTGGTATATGCTGGAGATGGAGACATTATAATACTATGCAGAGAGTGAAACTATAATAAATATAATCAACATCTAAGTCTACAATGGTGCTGGTTCAGGGGAGTTAGTCAACTTGCAAATCAAAGGATGGTCAATATATGGAGGGTACATTTTACAGGGAAGGATTTTCAGAGAGGAACAATTGTATAAGGACTGGAGCTTGATAAGCACAGTTGGATAATTTAATAAAATTTCATGATATCCATAACTCAATGTAGCATAACATTTCATGGTGCACATAATTAAATCTAATACAAAATTGAAACAAGAAGATAATGAGAGATGAAACTGGTCAGAGAGATGAAGCATCTTGTATACCAGAGAAAGTAATTAGATTTTCTCCTACAGATGGCTTTTAGAAAAGGAAGACAGCATTATTAGCTTTACTTATATTTTGAATGAGTTTCTTCTGGAAATAGTGGAACTTAGTTAAAACTGAAGTGAGAGAACTGGTAAGGGAATTATTTCAGACTATAGTCTGTGAAAAGTTTGAAGGCTTTTGTATTAGGATATCTAGTTGAGATGAATAGGCTATCACTCAGATATTAAAAATATAGAATGAATCTGATTTGGTGAATGATACATTTAGACTACAGGTATTGAGAGAGCTTTGAGGGACCTTCTTCTGAGCCACTGGGTTGAGAGTTAAGCTTTGTTAAATAGTTTAATGTTAAATTGTTAAATAGTTTAATGGCAACTCCTATGTGCAACTACTTAAAGATAATAAAACAATCATAATTATAAAAACTTTGAAAGAATTGTTAAAGACCATTAAATCATTGTTAATGGTAGACTTTTATCATAAGTACCCCTTTTAATGTTTACTTTTTATTTAAATAGGCTATTCAGAGTAGGAAGATTTATCTCCTTAGTTGACAGCAAATGCTAAGTTTAACAATGCTAATTTTGTGTTCTGATTATGGTATTCTGGTAACATAGAAGGTATTTTTGTTTTTAGAAAATATACATAGAGGTGTATAAAGGTAATGATGCTTCATATATGCACTCTGCACACATTATTTAGAAAAATGTACATATAAGTATGTAGATTAGAGAAGTGATAAAGGCAAATGCAGTTTGTCAATGCTTGAGAAATTTAGCAAAAGCAAAGTTCTTTATGCTCTTTTAACTGTTTCTCTGTAAACTTATAGTTTTTTTTTAAATGACCAAGAACAGTGTTTGAGATGTCTGGCCCAGATAACTGGATGGAGAATGACTAATTAACAACAGAAAGTCAAGAGATACAGATACAGAGGAAGAAATGTTTAGTTTCAGTAGGATATACCCAGTAAGCATATAATGAGCTGTTTTCAAAATGAAAGGAGTAATATCCTTTTTTTATATAGTACTAGGGATTGAACTCAGGACTATGAGCAATCAAGCATTCTAACTCTGGTGGGACTCCTTCCTAGTCATTTTTTTTTCTTTTGCCAGTCCTGGGGCTTGAACTCAGGACCTGGGCGCTGTCCCTGAGCCTCTTTGTCTTCAAGGCTAGCATTCTACTACTTTGTTGGGTTTTTTTTTTGGGGGGTGTCCATTCGCGGGCCTGAACTCTGGGCCTGGGCACTGTCCCTCAGCTCTTCACCTTAAGGCTAGCGCTCTACCACTTGAGCCACAGCACCACTTCTGTTTTTTTTTCTGCATATGTGGTGCTGAGGAATAGAACCCAGGGC